GATCAATGCCCTAAGATTGATTTTAAGAAGAAAGAAATGGCTAGTAAGCCTTATGTTTCTCTCGTTGGGAGTCTCATGTATCCATATGAATGTAGACCTGATATTGCATATGCTATTAGTATATTGGGAAGTTTTCAGTCTAATCATGGCAATGCACACTGGATAGCTGCCAAGAAAGTTTTGAGACACTTGTAGAGAACAAATGAATATCAGCTAGTATACAAGAGGGATTCAAAACTCAAACTAGTAGGTTATAGTGACTCAGACTTTGCAGGCTGCCTTGATTCACTTAAGTCAACTTCAAGTTATATATTCACATTGGCAAATGGGGCAGTGTTATGGAAGAGTGTGAAACAAGATACTGTTGCCATTCCACTATGCAAGTTGAGTTTGTAGCTTGTTATGAAGCTACATCACATGCTATATGGCTGAGAAATTTCATCATCAGTCTTGAGATTATGAATTTAATTGCAAAGCCTGTTCAAATTTGGTGTGATAAAAAGTTGTCGTCTTTTATTCTAAGAATAATAAAAGGTCTCCAGGAACTAAGCATTTGAACACCAAATATGCATTGACAAGGAAGAAAGTGAAGCCTGGAGAGATCAAGGTTGATTACATTGACACTTATGCAGTGCTTGCTGATCCACTCACTAAGGTATTACCAAATGCAGTTTTTCACAAACATGCAGTCAGTATGGGAGTGACTGCTGCAACCCTAGATTTGTTGAACTAGTGGGAGTAGTGATAGTATATAGCATAGTTATGCATATTGGTTATTATCGTGATAGTAAGTAGTAATTTTGGTTTTATGTTTAGCCAGTTGCTGCACTTGGTTGAATTGAATGTTTAATAAAGGGATACTACTTAATTCATACATTGTTTCAATATAGTTCTAAATTCTTATTTTCTGTTGGAAATAAAGGTTGTTGAAGGATCATAAGCAACTGATATATTACAGTGAGACAATGTAGCAACAAAAGGTTATTAGCTGCAATTAGTAGTGCCGAGAGATTGATTGCCATATGTACTGAATTTTTCACGAAAAATATATGTAAGCTATTCTTATAGCTTGAAAGTTTCATAGGAAGCATTAAGCAATCATAAATAAGACTGATTAAGGGTTTAGTTATAAGCTATAACTTGGACTCCAAGTAAAGGTATATAACTCGGTTATAATTGGAGAATAAAGGCTCTTGATACTATCCTATTTGGATTGAGATTTGGTAGATTATATCCTTGTACAATAAGGAATCCTAGCGTATGATTATGGGAATGTATGCTAGGGTTGAAGTAGTATAAATACTAAGTGAAGGTCCTTGCATACACCACTGATACACATACTTGCAGAACTCCTCATAGGTTCGAGTAATACAGTGGTGGTGAGTGTGCAGAAGACCAACCTTCAAAGTCTAGGGTGTTCGAGGAAAGCTTGCTGCAATTGCAGTCCTTGTTGTGCTAGGAAGATGACTTCTCAAGGTTAGTTCTATGGTGTTTTAATGGTACATAAAGATATCATGTTTAACAGTCTAGGCGGACGCCTAAGCAGGTCTTGGCACCATTTCTTAATTTTCATACACTTAAAAGACTAATCGGGGCAGTGACCAGCTGCCTAACGCCTAATTGGGGCCTAAGTATAGCTAGGTGGAGATTTTTAAAAACAGTGACCCTAACCCCCAACCTCGACTCCGACCCGACCCTGACCCCAACCTTGACCCCAACCTTAACCCCAACTCCAACCTCAACTAACTATCACCAGTGGAGTTGTGAGTCTTGTTTTGACTATTATATGTAGTCATCCACTCATCCATATTCATGTATTTGCAATGAGGCCACCTACAACATGTTTTTATTATTATATTATTATTATTATTATTATTATTATTATTATTTGTATTTGCTAGATTTGTCAAATAACAATTAATTGTATCCCACTACCACTAGTTGATATCAATCTTGTTAATTTCTCAGCACTCTCATTTTCTAGTTACTTTGAACTAGAAGGGTAGGTTACGCTAGTAATTCAATGACCTAACTATAATGTGAAATTTAGCTCAGTACTTTTGTTTTAAGTGCTTTATCATATATATAATTATTTATTTATTTATTGGTTTTATTTATTTATTTATTATTTTTTTTGTTTGTTTTGTTTTGGGTTGGGGGGGGTGAATTCACATTTCGAGGATATTGTTAAGACAGAACCAATGAAACACAGAAAGGATAGGGGGGAATTCACATTTCGAGGAAATTGTTCAGACAGAACCAATGAACCACAGAAATGACTGATGTGATATAAAATAGCACACAAACTTAAACCCTTTTTATGTAGTTGTAGTATGAATAAGTAGGGATTGTTATAGGCTGGGGATTAGAAGGGATGCTAATCTCTCAATTTTAAACTCTAAAACACTAAACTAGACCCAAAAACAGAAAACTAGACTCTAATGACTCAAGACAAACTAGAATGACTCAAAATAACACAAAACAAGTAAATTGACTCAAAACAGAAACTAGGGGTGGTTTTGGACGAATTCTAACTTAACTTTGACTCAAAACACTAAAAGAAACAAATTCAAACAAGTTCTAACTAAATAAACATGAAATATAAAAAGGGGGATTGGTTTTGACGAATTTAAATCTTAAACAAACAAGTTACAGAAACAAAGTAAATTGATACAAATTTGGGAAGAATTGATGGGTGATAGGCTAGCTAGATGGTCATTCTCCACACATGACACATATGCATACAGATTGATTTCCAATTATTATTCCAACAAACCATGAATGACAATGCCCTAAATTAATTGTGAACTGCACAAATTAACTCTCAGATTTTCCTAATTTCATTGAATTGGACTCAGCGACGCAATCAAATTATTCTAATCAAGTTCCCTATATGAATAGCATGATAGAGATACATATCAAAGATCATTAAGTTCTATGAAAATCATAAGCATTGACAAAGCATTTATAATTATGAAAAACATGATACTCCTGCCATGGATTTACTTAACACAATCTTGATTAGTGACTTCCACTACTTATAAATATAAGTTCATAATGATTAGGTGAAATTCCCTTATATTTTAGCATCAAATTTATGCATGCAAATTAAGTATGCATCCTTAATCAACATACAAGAATAAGTTATAAATCAAACAGATAAGTAAATCACATTCATGTTTTACGCACATATATGTTCATTGCTTTGAATTCTCCTCTAGCCAAAACGAGTTTAGCTCCTCATGTTCACAATTAAACAAGTATAATTAAATTTAAACATTGAAAACAAAAGATTGAATACACCTAGAAACGCTCCAACAATCCAAAAAGTCTTGAATGGCAGGTACGACTACAAGCTATCATCCCCTTCCTTGCAAAGTTGCGACACAAAGGTGTTTGTCTCTGAAATTGGGTTATTGTGTGTGATGGATGGGTGAGAGCGAATTGTCTTGAGAGATGGATAAGTGGTTGTGTATTGTGATGAGAGATGGATGATTCGTCTTCCCTTTTGGTGCGGCAGAAAAAACATAAAAATAAAGGGAAAGGGCACGGCATTAATTAAATTTTTTTTGCAAAGATTTGCACTCCAAATCCACAAGGAAAAAGGCTAATTAAAATCAGAATCCAAGAGGGAAAGGGAAAGAAAAGGTGTGGCAGGATCCTAGAAGGAAAGAAAAAGGGAGTGCACGGTAAGGAAAGGTTATTCTAGAAGGAATAGGTGCGGCACCCTTGTAGAATTAGGATTAAGCCTTCTAGAAACATATATCTAAGTGTCCTACTATAATTAGGGATCCCCCTAATAGCTAGAACTAAAGTAGTGTAGGATTAGGATTGGCTAAGACAAAATAAGATATTTTGGCTCATGTTCCTTCTTTCTTTGTTAAGCTCCATATCTTCTTTGTCTTGAATTAATTCTCCCATCTCTTTAGCATATTCTTAGCCCTTCTTGAACTTCAAATTCGTCTATCGACCTTGCTTCATGCATGTGCTATCTATTCCAAGCCCAAAACTACTCTAAAATGCTCCAAATTGCATTTTCTTGCCACTTTAGCCAATTGAATCTACAAACACACGAAAATAGCTTAAATCACTATAATAAATAGAAACTAACTTCACTAAATGCAAGAAAATTGGCTAACAAAGTCGCATAAATATGCTCCTATCAAGGACAAAATGCTGAAGTGCATATGTCCACGGTCCTCATCTCTCTGATCAAATCACGTGAGATGTAGCTCAAACTGCAGACTCCAATAAGACCAAATCAATGTGGGCAGCAGAAAAGCAGGTGGGAGAAGTAAAGAGAAGGGAGGCCCGGAGGGCTTAAATGGTCCTCCCAAGATCATGGACCTCAACTTGTACGTATACTATGTTTTAAAAGCAATACACATGCATTAACACGAAAATGCATTTTTAAATGAAAATACCAAATATCTTTCATACAACAATAGTTTATGTGTACCAATTGAGTTACATATATCCCTGTGTTTTATCCTATCGGTCAATTTGGTCAAAGTGGTATTTGTTCTTCAAACCAATCATAGACAATCTGTTAGAGGTCCATTAAAATATACATGTGTTTTGCACGTGAGAGGACATACATGTAACTTCATTGTAACTCTATTAAATCCACACAAGATCAAATCATCGAGACTGGTCCTTTAATAAATTATCTAAAATTGACTAACGGAGATACATTCATTTTGACACCTAAACCATCAAAAGTAAAAAAAAGAAAAAAGGCATGACACTATACAAGGCAAGTGCATGTCATTAATTAATGTACAATACAACCATAATTGCATAACAATTTTTTCACCACCTATTTCCAACTCTTAACCACTTTTAACCACGTTGCCATTGGACTTTGCTTACATCTTCACCTATTTTGTGAACATCTTCGACAAATTTTCTGAATCGAATTTAAAACTCCTGCATTTTAGGCACCGCCATACACATAAGTCACTGTTGCAACAACAGCAATAGTTACGTACTCATCAACCAACTACTATATATATATATATATATTCATACATACCCAAAGCTAAAACTGTCTGTGTGCAAATTAAGTAGCCAGCTTTATTAGCAAAGAAGAAAAAAGATATGGCTACTACTCCCGGAATTCTCACTGAATGGCCATGGACTCCTCTTGGAAGCTTTAAGGTCTTCCCTTCTACAAACCCTAGCTCCTACCTCTCTCTCTCTCTCTCTCTCTCTCTCTCTCTCGTGTACATACAGTGCCACACACTGAGAATTCTAGAATGGACCAGCCCATAGTATGAACGAGGGGATGGGCGACTGGTTGCAAGGCCAAGATTGTAATGGCCAAGAACGGTCAAGAATCTCGTTGCATACTATGCTCCAGTCCACACTAGAAAACTTTGTCACCTCCCCCATTAAGGTTTTCATTGTATATGCATTGTTTATACATTACATATTTTGATGTATTAACAACTTAAAATTTGTGATCTATATATATGGGGTTTTAATGCAGCATGTGGTCGTGGCTCCTTGGATCATTCACAGTACATACTCGTATTTTGCTAACGATGAGGAAGATAAAGATCTATCTTATTTCCTCATATTTCCGCTTATTCTGTGGAGGTTTGTCCACAACCAGTTATGGATCTCTCTTTCTCGATATCGGACGGCCAAGGGCAACGGCCGGATTGTTGACAAGGGCCTCGAATTTGAACAAGTCGACAGAGAAAGAAACTGGTACGTATAAAGAATAAAGCCATTCGAAGCTGAAAGATGGGCTGCCTGATTACAACCTCGAATGTAGTCTTATATATAATCAGTTCATTTAAATTTCTTCAGTTATATATCTTTCTTTTTTTAATTTTTGTTTGGGCAGGGATGATCAAATATTGTTCAACTCAATTCTATTCTACCTAGGGAGCAGGCACTTGCCAGGGGCTTCAAACCTGCCAATGTGGAGGACCGATGGAGTTATTCTAACAATTCTGCTTCATGCTGGTCCAGTGGAGTTTCTCTACTACTGGTTCCACAGAGCACTTCACCACCATTTCCTATACTCTCGCTACCACTCTCATCACCATTCCTCCATTGTCACTGAGCCAATCACTTGTAAGAAAATTACTCAAGTACCCCTTCCATTTTTTTTATTTTATTAGTTCTATACTTCACTTTCTCTTGAAGAGATTTTTTTAGTGTGCTCGAACACAGGGTGGTACATAGCGTGTGATTATACAATTGGTGGGGCACCTGAAAATAAAACTTCGCTTTACGTATATAATATAATGGCATATAGTGTACTACCACGTAATCCCGGTGCTCTGAAAAATGTTCTTTGTTTCTCTTGGTTGGTGAAAATGTTCTTTGTTTACGAATATACTATAGAAGCTGTTATTGACGTTTCAAAATCAATTATCATGCACCTTATTTTAGTTGACAAAGAAAAATAAAGAAGCAAAGAGTGGAAGACAGACTTTTATAGACTGCTAATAACAATTTTCTAAATGGTTAATTATTACTTATATTTTTTTGATGTATTGTGCAGCTGTGATCCACCCATTTGCGGAGCATATCGCATATTTCATACTCTTTGCTATACCAATGTTGACAACTTTATTCACCGGAACAACTTCTGTCGCAGTCTATGCTGGTTATTTAACTTATATTGACTTCATGAACAACATGGGACATTGCAATTTTGAGCTCATTCCAAATTGGCTCTTCACCATTTTCCCCCCTCTCAAGTATTTCATGTACACTCCATCGTAAGTCTTGCTTTACTCTCTCTCGTTGTCTTTATACAAATACAACCGGTTATAGGGAAGAATTACTTTATGCAAGCCTTGGGAAGTATGCATATGTCATATACATAATTAGTACATATAAATTTACACATTTTATTCAAAATTATTCTGGTACCATTGATTTTCTAACAAATTTCATGACGTTCTTATAGATGCTATTTGTTTTCAATTTCAATTATTTAGGAATTAGATATTGTTGCAAGGTATCCACAACTAAGTATACCATAAAAATTAATCTTATCGAAAATAAGTTGAATGGTATAATTTGTGCCACAATTAACATTACGATCTAATAATATTTATCTTCCTTGTTAGTGAGAGATGTTTAGTTTGTTGCACTCAAATGAACCTGACTCTGATATGATAGAAACATGCGTGTCATAATATGATGAGATAAAATCTTCTGCATCCAAAATTTTTTGTGGCATCTCTGTGACCTATCTTATTTGTCATCGCCTAACCATCCATTTAAACTGTATTTAACAATGTTAACATTTTAACTTATCTCCTTAATAAAAATAAAAAACTAAATAAATGAAGTTATCACTCAAATACATAGGTCAAAAATATGCTACAAAGAGTCTTAAGTGCAGAAAATTTGACTCATAATATGATATTATAGTCCTTATAAGACATTTAGTTAATATATTGTTGTACTTTAGTACGGAGAACATATAATTCACACCAAACAATTATGAAACAATTATGAAACATTCTCCTAATCTCTGATCTCATCCAAGTGCAATACAAAAATGTATACACAAACAATTTAAAGAATTTCTTTTCAAAGTGCTCGATATTTTAACTCGGTGCTCCACGTGTCATCAAATAAGTGAAAAGACACAGAAAGAGAGGCAAAAAAAAAAAAAAATTTCTGAGCTTATATAATGATATATAAAATATTTCTCCAAATAGTGATGCTAAAAGGACTCTCTTAGACTATCTGTCACTTCACTGGTTAACGTCAATTCCGATACTAATATTATAAAATATTTAGCATTCTCCTTAGGTCTAATTGGATAAATGGTCCTCGTAGAAATTGGGTTTTTTAAGAATTTTTTTTTTTGGTCAATAGGAATTCTAGTAACAAAGCAGCACAGAGAAGAAAAATACAAAAAATAAAAAATAAAAACTCCTTAGAAAATGAGAAGATAAGCACAATTCTTACATAGAGCAGGAACATACATGATCCTGTAAGTATGAATAACTATCTAGCCAAAAGGGCTACAAAAAAAATCTACCTACAACCAAGATGGAGGGGTTATTTCCAACCCAACTTGGGAATTATACAGAAGAGGCCAAGGGAGGAGAAATTTTTCCTTGTGATCGGAACACGGATAGTACATCATGTGTTTTTATATAAATGGTGGGAATTTGTATTTCTCAGTTATAAACTTTTTAACACATATATCTTACAATTTGTATAATAACACGTGATGTATCATTCTGTGTTGCGGTTATATTGAAAATTTCTCCTAAGAAAGGCCATCCCGATTCCCTAGACGGAACACCGACAAGAGAGGGAGGGGGCATAGAGTCCCATCTCGAAGAACACAGCCCCTATACCACCAACGATACAGCCGCATGAGCTGCTTTGCTTCTACATGCTGTATATTGGCTGATGGGTTTGAGAGTATTTTTTATTATTTATTGACTGGATTTCGCTACGTCGGATTGGTTTGGTTTTTGGTTTGATGCGATTGTGATAGATTTGGTTAACAAGGTTTTCATTCATTTTCAGATTTGTTTTGAAACACTTCTCAAAATTTACAGGATGCTATGATGTTTGTGCTATATAATAATACATGAGTTGAATTCTAACCGTTTTCATTATTTTCTTGGTGAGAGATAAATAATAAAGACAAGAAGAAGAACACGTCAAAATACATTTATATTCCAGCATTTAACGGATAATTAACAAAAAATAATAATTTTAAACTAAATTTACTAAGGAATTATACCATAAGAATTTAAATTCTAATTTTTTTTATCACAAAAGTTATCTCCCGATTAGGCCTTTCCTTTAATAGAATTTTAGGCACATGATGCCCAATAAATGGGCAGGCGGGCAATAAATGTCGTTACAGGAAAATCTTCTTTGGTGGTCCACGTGGTCCAAAGACCATCATTACACATCTATATCATTTTATATTTCATTCTTAGGGGTTGCATCACCATCATATTGTACCTATGATATATACTGTTGTTGTTAGCTTATATTATTTATTATTATACCTTCATGCAATCGTAATCAACACCTCGAAATGTCACATTTGTACTAACTATTCACTCTTTTATACCTTTATGTGACAAGTGCCAAAACAGTGTAGTTTTATAGTCTGACTAATTAACTTTGTCAACATTTAATATTTAAATATTTTTGAATACTAATAGCAACTCCACACGTATCTTTTTGAGTTCAATTCAAATTTAACGTGCATATAAATGCAGGTACCATTCCTTGCACCATACACAATTCAGGACCAATTACTCTCTCTTCATGCCAATCTACGACTGCATGTATGGCACCATGGACAAATCAAGTGATTCCCTCTATCAAACTTCGCTCACGAGAGGGGAGGAATCGCCAGATGTCCTCCATCTAACCCATCTAACAACGCCCGAGTCCATATATTATCTACCGCAAGGATTTGTTTCCTTGGCCTCTAGGCCCCACACAAGCACGTGGTACTTATGGTTGATGTGGCCTCTCACATTGTGGTCCATGATGATAACTTGGATCTATGGCCGTACATTTGTCGTCGAAAGGCACCGCTTTGTACGAGCTCAAATTACAGACTTGGGCTATTCCAAAGTACAGTTTGCAAGTGAGGCCCAATTCTTAATTTCTCTATTAAATCTGTGTCTACTTCTTCTTCTTCTTCTTGTTTATTTATTTATTTATACGAAATTGTTATTGGTACTTCAAAAATCTCATTATATACTTCAAACTTTCTATATTAGAAAAGAAAAATACACTTATGAAGAATGTAGAATGAGATTTTTAGAATGTCAATGACACTTCCCTATTTACATTTATATTAGTTTTTAATTTTTTTTTAATGAGATCTGATTTAATTTGTTAATTTGTAAATCTCAGTACTTTATGAAATGGCAAAGTGAAGCTATCAATGGCTTGATTGAGGAAGCCATACTTGATGCAGAGGAAAAAGGTGTCAAAGTTTTAAGCCTAGGCCTCTTAAATCAGGTAATTATTTTTTTTTTTAACAAACAATATTATCTATACTAAACGAAAGGGGATAGACTTAGTCTTATAATGAGCTAGCAATAATATCGTTCAAATTCGCTTTGGTAAAAATCAAAGCTAAGACATCTCACTTACAAATGAAAAGAAATACCACTAGACCATAATACTAAGTGGTTTAAATCAGGTAATTAACTTTTACAATTTAATCACTGGTTGAATCAGAAGTTAATTAATTTTACCAGAGTCCTCACTAAATCTTCCCAATTTAGTAATGGCGTTGTGGTAGATAATATGTATTATAAATGTTTGTCTATGTATTTATGGCTGTGTATATAGAATATCAGTTAATGCATGGTCCATGGCAAAAGTATTTGTCTATACAGAATACCAGTAGGGTACTCTACAATTTAATTCACTGTTGGTCCAGCCATATGGTATACCATGTAAGTAAAGCGATCATCTGTCTTATACATGGGCTCACCTCGAGGTTCTACCACGTAACCATTTTATCTAAAATTTGACCTTAATTTAGGACTCGACATTTACCTCTCGATTGGAAATAAGTAAATGAAACGAGGCAGTCTGATTCCATGATGCAAATTATGTTGATAAAATTTATGTACCATTGTATACTTAGAAATGACATGATTACAGTTAATCCGTTTTATATAAATTTCTTTCCTTGAACAAGGACCATATTTATTACTGCGCACTGTATTTTGTTGTCCCATTTTATGTATTCAAACAGTTGTTTATTTATTTAATTTATATATTATGTATATGCAGGGTGAAGAGTTGAATAGATATGGCGGTCTCTATGTTCAAAGGCATCCACATCTCAAAGTCAAGGTGGTGGATGGAAGTAGCTTAGCTGTGGCTGTAATCCTAAACAGCATTCCAAAAGGGACAACTCAAGTCGTCCTTAGAGGCAATCTCACAAAGGTTGCTTATGCCATTGCCTATGCTTTGAGCCAGAAGGGTATCCAGGTATACATACATAATCTATATAGATCATTGGGGAGATAAACAAGGGTAGAACTATCATACCAAGGTCACGTGATCATATAATGTGTCGGTTCTGATCGTTTGTAATTAAGATAATGTTTCTTCCTATCTTATAACTTGAATTTTCTTAATATTTCAGGTAGCTACATTATACCAGGCTGAGCATTTGAAACTGACCAAATCACTAAATGGCACTAAAAGTAACCTAATTGTTGCAAAAAGCTATGCACAAAAGGTATATATATCAATTATTTGCTTCAAAATTCTCCTTCCTCACCCATATTTTTGTATTTTTAATATTTTTCCATCTATTCATATACGTTGGATGATAAAAGCTAATTGATTTAATTTGCAGATATGGTTGGTGGGTGATGGATTGACCGAAAAAGAACAGATGCGTGCACCAAAAGGAACACTATTTGTTCCCTTCTCACAATTCCCACCCAAAAAATTGCGCAAGGACTGCTTCTATCATTACACTCCAGCAATGAAGACTCCCACATCTCTTGAGAATGTTCACTCTTGCGAGGTAAAGCTTTTTTTCATTTATTCGTCAAATTTTCCGAAACCCTAAGCTCTAAACAATTTATTTATTTATTTATTTTTGTGACGACAGAACTGGTTGCCAAGAAGGGTGATGAGTGCATGGCGAGTTGCGGGCATAGTTCATGCCTTGGAAGGTTGGAAGGAGCATGAGTGTGGTTACACCATGTCCAACAGCGACAAAGTTTGGCAAGCAAGTCTTGTGCATGGGTTTCAGCCTCTGACGATCATTACTGCTCACACAAAAACTTAGAGATCCACAGCTTCCTATTAAATAATAATAATAAAAAAAAAAAAAAAAAGAAGTTACTAAGTGCACCGCGACCTTAATCAGATGATCCCTTGTTTCAGTTGGGTTATCATGTGACAATGCTGGCTATATTCTACAAATAGCTGGCTAGATGTTGTCATCATCTATGAGTTACTCTATTATATATGAATTTCACTTTATATGGAACTATTCGTTGATAAAATTTGATTGTTATTGATCTTTTGTTTAATAATTCATGGCTTTAATATACCTAATTAACCTCAAAAACTTAGGAAGAGAACTATGCCAAATGCATATATATTGGTTTTTTTTTGCTATGCAACTTTTCATTTGGGATATGATTTACGCTGATTGATCCTTGTTTATTTATAGTCTTCGGATTGAACAAATTACATCACTTGAGTTGGTATTACTACTAGAAAATTGGGGTTGTCTTGTGAAACCTTGCCCGACCGAGACAAATTCATCGGCGAACAAACATTTACCAGACGAAATTACCAGTTCGTAGGGCGAATTTGATCACCGTTTAGGCTTTACTAAAAATCTTTAGGAGACGGAAGAATTTCGTAGGGCAAGGATAAATCTGTCGGCAAGAATTTGGCGCGCAATTCACTGAGGCTTGCGGGGTGAAACAATGGTTCATTGGCTAAGTTCAGTTTGCTCGATGGACAATTTCCGTTGACTAATGGTTTTAGTTCTTCTAGTAAAGGACCACGCTGACACATTACAAAAACAAGCGGAACCACGTTTGCTCAACAACGGGAGGGAAGGTGCCCAACAAGGAATTCCGTAAGGTTCCTCCCCTCCCGCGGGCCATCATTGTTTCTCCCTCGCCCTCTCCCTCTCTCTTACGCACATACACACTCTCCTCCATCTCTTCCTCTCCCAAATAATTAAAGGTTAGTTTATATTTATTTGTTGATTAATTTTTTCTTCAATTGTGATTAATTAATTTTGATTTATGTAGGTTTGTGATTGGAATAATTAAAAGAAAGGTATGTATTTATCTTAATTATAGATAATGTTTGAATTTATTTAATTATATAAATATGTTGAAATTATGGATGATGTGAAATTTTGAGTTTGTGTGTTATTAAAATATATGTAGATTAGGAGAATTTAAATTGTGCATCATTTTGTTCATTAAAAAAAAAAAAAAAAACCTTAGACCCGTTTGAGATTCTGTTGGACGCGCGTGTAGACGCAATATGCGGCTTTGTGATCGAAATGAATCTTGAATTGTCCAATTCAGACAGTTTGGGAGTGCACTAGTATGTGTTTCGGGGTTTGCGATGAACTTGGCTAAGTTTCGTTTGTGGATAATTTGGTTGTATCCACCTAATGTTCTTCAAGTGCATACTATATATTTGTCTGTAATATATACGTCATGCACTTGAGGATCCCTGAGGAGATGCTGCAGGATTTTCTACGATCTAAAATAGTCGCGTGATTCGTAAACCACAACATAGAAAGTGCACTTTTGAATGGAATAGGATCATTACCGAAGGCATAAAGGGGCAATAAAGCGTATTTTAAATCATTATGATGGCTAAATTCTCTGATTATAGGCACAATGGACAAGGTGTAGATCAACTGCAAGATAAAAGTTGTAACTAATATTTGGATGGGATCGACAATTTAATTCAATTTGCATGGCACCATGTTAGCGCTCAGAATCGTATTAGGTGTCTTTGTGTGAAATTTAATAAAATGTAATAATTGTGTTTGGATGACACAAGACAAAGACCAATATCTCTTGTATTTGAATGAGATGGTACACACTTGCTCTAATTGGACTTATCATGGAGAATCACACATTACATCGTTGATGTCCTTCGGATGTGGGACACTTTGGCATGAACCTTCTACATATGGACGTCTTGATGACGACCAAGTGGTGGACATATAGAATGATGCTTTCCTTAATGCTTCGCTTAATATGGACGAAGAGTTGTCCACAAACCTCGAGAAGTATGATAAATTATTGAATGAAGCTGAGCGAGAATTGTACCTTGGTTGTGAAGATTTTTTGGTCCTAACAGTCGTTGTAGAGTTGATGCACATGAAAGTGCAATGTAATATGACCAATTAGAACTATGCTATGATGATGTGGATTTTTAAATGTATGCTTCCACAACCAAATGCATTTCCTACAAATCATTCTAGGTCGAAGAAAGATCTTGGGTTGGGATATGACAATGGCCATGCATGCACAAATAATTGTGTATTATTTTACCGTGAGTTTGAGAAGTTAGATAAATGTCCCAAGTGGAATGAGTTGATATATCAAAAGAACAAGATTCTGAATAAGATGTTGAGTTATTTTCCCTGTAGACCAAGATTACAAAGATTGTACATGTTGACCCATACTCGTGATATGAATTGGCACAAGGAGGAATGGGTTGATGATGATGTGTTATGGCATCTGGCTGACAGTGAAGAATAGAAAGAATTTGATAAAATCTACCCAATTTTGCCGCAGTACGAAGAAATGTCAAACTAAGACTTGCTTCTAACGGCGTCAATCCGTTTGGGAATTTTTCCAGTGAGCACAGAACTTGGCCACTGGTTGTTCTTCCTTAGAACTTGCCCTAGAAGTGCATGAAGAAAGAATTTACAATCATAAGTCTTTTATTACTAGTGCCCAAATCACCAGGCGATTTCATGGATGTTTATTTGCGGTGTTTGATTAACGAGTTGATAGATTTATGGCCAAATCGTGTACAAATGTACGACAGGTCTACAGGGGAAATGTTCACTCTAAGAGACGCAATTATGCGGACAATTAATGATTTCTCAGCTTATGGTATGTTGTCGGGCTAAAACACCAAAGGGTACATGGCATGCCCCACATGCAGGAAATATACGTTTTCCTTTTGACACATAGGAAATGTATGCTAATTTGGCCACCGAAGATGGATCCCTTAGTATCACGAGCGGCATGACAAGCCTAAAACATTTGATGGGACAACATAGTATCAACCTAGAACAAGAGAATTATTGGAAATGAAATGTTAGCCAAGTTGAATACGCTCCAATTTGAGGAAGGCTTGAGACTAGTGGAACAACTAAATTGGACAATATATATATATATATATATATATATATATATTGTTTAACTTGGAATACTGGTCGAAATTGAAAATCAAACACATTGCTAATCCCATGCATATTGAGAAGAATGTATGCGACAATGTGGTGAGAATGACTCTGCTTATTGAGGGAAAATCAAAAGACACCATGAAGACTCGTATTGGAATGCAAGCAATGGAGATAAGGTATAACCTATGGCCTACATTCAAAAATGGTAAATACAAGAAAAAGAATGCCAATTTTACTTTCAAGTCGGATGGCAAGAAGGACTTCTTGAAGTGGTTGTAAGGTGTGAAATTTCTAGATAGGCATGCTAGCAATATAGCAAGACATGTTAATATGGACATTTGGGACACAACCGGGTTTGAAGAGTCATGGTTGTCATGTAGTACTCCAAAAGCTACCTTCGATTGGTATTCAGCCACACTTAGACTCCGAGGTTGTTAAGACGATTAAATATTTGTTTCAGTTCTTCATGCAACTATGTTGTAAAACGTTGTGGAAATCCGATGTAGATGTTTTGGAAGAAGATATTGTGTATATCCTATGTCGGCTAGAGCAAATATATCCACGAGCATTTTTCACAAGCATGATTCATGTAATGATACATATGTTGTATGAGGTAAAGTTTGTTAAGCAGGTGCATAATCGTTGTATGTATCCAATTGAAAGGTAATCTTGTCAGTACGTTAATTTGTTAATATTCTTTATCAAGCACTTGAAATTAATTTTTTGATCATATTTAACAATTTGTCAAACTACTGGGTGGTTACAAGCGATTCGTCCGCAACATGGCACAACCCAAATGATTCATAACGGAGGCTATCAGTGTACAAGAATCCTTCACATTTTGTGCAAGGTACCTCTAGAATGTTGAAATTGCCTACAATAAGCACCCACGCAATTTGGATGGGGGTGAACGGGTTGAAAAGTTATCAGTCTTTGCGTAACATGCACCCCTATTTGGCAAAGGACCTTCGTCTTAGCCCTTCAAAGAAACTGACTTGGAAGTGGCTTACTAGTTCTTATTAAACAACTATGATGAAGTCAAACCATTCATTAAACAACATGAAGCATTAATGTAGACCTAATATCCTTCAACTTGGGTTGAAACACATAAAATTATTTTTGCATTGGTTTGCCGAACATGTAAGTGTTTTTATTTTGCATAAAATCTAATAGTTTTGTTTTGCAAAAACTTACATATTCAATGGCCATTGCATTTTACTAGATGCGGCAGTTAAGAGAAGACAAATCATCTTTGTTTGATGAAGAATTATTTCAATTGGCATGTCTCATTAATGCCAACACATACGCTGGTTGTCACGTGAACATAGTTAAATTTTTTTGCAAATGAACGAGAGGACAGTAGCATTTTTGTCCTGGGGGTAAATGAGAATACTTATTTGTTTGGCACACTTTTAAGTGTGGTTCAATTGTTACGCCCAAACCAAGGAAGTCATGTTGTCTAAAGGTCATTGGTATAATACGAACCCAGACAAACCAGATAGTGTCATTGGAGATATGTATTTGTTATCCATTAACACAAACACCCGGTGGTTTGAGAGTGATCCCCAATTCCTTGCAAATACGGTGAAAAAAATATGTATGAAACAAATTTGGTTCCACAATGTATTCTACTTGGATGATCCAAAGCTCATGGGTGGTTGGAAAGTAGTACAATTCCTATTAAGTAGAAATATTTGGAACTTGCTGGTGCAACAACACGATGAAGATATTGACGATGACCAAAATGTTCACCAAAAGGCTTCGTCTGCAATCACTTAAAATGTTCCTAGAGTACAGAGCAAACACATCGCAAAACCACCATTTGAGATGGAAGGAGTCCTGGAAATTGAAATAGATGCAATTATCTATTGACCTGGGCGCCTAATTCCTTGGTTGAAGAAAACAGCAATGGCTCAAGCAATGAAAGCGACATCGAAAGGGATATTTGATAGGAGCATATTCATGCGACTTAATTAGCTTGTTCTCGTGCATTTATGTTGTGTTTACTTATCTATTTCAGTGTTTAAGGCCACTTTTGTGTATTTTCAGATTATAAGGCCAAAGTGTGCAAGAAGATGCAAAGTGGAGCTTTTTTGGAGCGAAAGAGGAATGAAT